GCTATATTTGCGTTGACAGTTTACTAAATAAATGTACTGGATAGGTTGTATAGTACATGTTACAACTTGCTTGGATATGCAGTACTTCAGAATCTGCACTGGCGTATATATTCTTACCAGAATTTAACGATGCTGACGAAACTTCCTTCAGCCACCTCATGTAAGATCCAACGCCTGGCAGTCCGTTGTAGTTTATGGATCCTCTCGAAATCATTCATGCTGAGGGAATAGTCGAGCACAAGGGCAAACTTGGCCTCTTCTTGGCCTATCACAATGAACTCTGGCGACGCCGAGGAGTTGGTTGGGGGGTTCCTGTTAGGATATGTTGAAGAACTTTTATGTTACTCGTCTAGCACTTTCTATATTAGCCTATACTATATTGTTGCACTTCTAAATGATAAGTTTATCTATTTCATCTCTCACCTTCACTGTCATACCACTCTCTCTTTACACACACACACACACACACACACACACACACGCACACGCACACACACACACACACGCACACACACACACACACACACACACACACACACATACACACACACACACACACACACACACACACACACACACACACACACACACACACACTACTGCTTACAAATTTGCTGTCACTCGGAATCGAGTATGACGATCATGCAGCTATGATACAATGATATGAGTTATTAAGGATGTCACCTTCATTGGTGAGTTTTGAGGTGACTAAAGAGGACGATACGGGACCGGTAGGGTCGATTAAAGAAGTTACACATGTGGAGGGCTGCATCTAGTGCGGGAGGGGTGGCGGCAGCGTCTTTCTGGCGTTGGCACTCGTCTGCCTTGTTATGCAGTCGGGCTAACTCGAAAGTATTGACACCTTCTTGTGTGGTGCTCCTCCAAGCATTACGGTGTGGAGTAATCGTCTCTCAGGTGAGGGGATCTATTTGGCACTTTTCATGTTTGTCATAAGATTATCCTTAAAACTCTTTATTTGCCCTCCAGCATTACGTTTACTATTTGTTAAGTGACAGTAAAGTACTGCACACACACACACACTCACACATACACACACACACACCCACACACACACACACACACATCAATAACTTGTAATAAACCAGTGTATTCACTCCCAGTAAACACTACTCCTTGCACTGTCACTATGTTGAAATGAACTGTAGTTTGAGCTTTTCCCCATCTAGTTATTATATATCTTATTTGTATCACTTATGTTACTTGAATATTATTTGTAATTCGAAACCCATTCCCCAAATATGTATCTGTATATTTTCAGCCTTCTGGCTGCCAAGCTCTTTCAATAAACCGTTAATTATTATTTTTATTATTACTCGCACACACACACACAAACACACTCTACTACTACATTGCTGTCACTTAGAATCGATTATGACGCTCATGCAGCTATGATACAATGATATGAGTTATTAAGGATGTCACCTTCGTTGGTGAGTTCTGAGGTGACTAAAGAGGCCGATACGGGACATGCAATGCCGTCCAAAAATGTTGCACGTGTGGAGGGCTACATTTACTGCGGGAGGGACGCCAGCAGCGTCTTCCCAGCGTTTGCGCTTGTCTGCCTCTGTATGCAATTAGGCCAACTCGAAAGAATTGACACCTTCTAGTGTGGTGCTCCTCCAAGCGTTAAGGTGTTGAGTAATCGTCTCCCAAGTGAGAGGGGTCAATTTGGCATTTTTTTTTAGGTTTGTCTTAACACTTTCCTTGCTCCTTTTCAGTTGCCCATTAGCGTCACGTTTACAATTCCTTAGGTGACTGTAAAGTAGCTGATATGGCAGTCTACTGTCGTCCATGTGGGTATCATGGCCAGTCCAGTGTAGTTGTTCAACGATAATGCCAGCGAGAATACTGTCATTTGTTATCTTGTCTTCCTAGCGAACTCGATGGATGGAATGTAGACCACGTTGGTGAAAGTTTTCAAGTGCCTTGAGGTGCCTCCTGTACGTGACCCAACTCTCGCTGCCATATAGGAGGGTGGGGACGACCACTGCTTGATATACATGCAACTTTGTGGATAATTTCATCTCTCTACACCTGAAGACACAGGTACGGAGTCTGCCAAAGGCTTGAGATGCATATCAGATACGATGTTGAATCTCTTCATTGAGATCTTCAGTGTTGGACAGGTGGGGGCCGAAAAACCGAAAGTGGGCAACATTATAGTACCGTTAAGCTGGATGGATGGTGGAGATGTGACTGAAACAGGGGCAGGTTGAAAGAGAATCTGAGTCTTACGTATATTTACCTCAAAACCGAAGTGTGCATACACATCTGCGTAGGTGTTCAGTATCTCCTGTAGGTCGCGTTCAGTGTAAGCAAAAAGGTCGTCTGCATACTGACGTTTAGTAATGGAAGCTGCCGATACCTTTGTTCCTGCCCGGAGTCGTCTAATGTTGAAAAGACCCTTTATCCGGTACTCGATGTCCACCCCACCGACTAAATTGGCACTCTCACTAGTAAGGAAGGCAGCCAAGTAAAT